TCGAGCTCTGCGACACGAGCATCGAGACCTTCGGTGTCCAATATCCATGACTTAGCCTCTCCTTGTGCATATCCCTACGTTCTTGTAACAGAAAATCGTCAAACTTCCAATTCATTTGGAATAGAGAATTTCGATCATGGGGATTAGCCTAGCCGGTGGCGTCACTGGTTGTTCTCATGATTGCTTCTCGTCAATTAGCCTAGCCTCGTCGGATATTCTTTGGAAGGGTTATGATCAAATTTTGTTGTTCTTACGTTGTCGTGTTTGTTTTGCTCTATGAAGGTTATTTTTCGAGCATTGATGTTCGAGTATGTTTGGTGTCCCTCGATGTGGGGAGTTGCTTTGGTGTACCGGCCAGTTTCGTCTAGCCTATGAGATTTCTGTCTGCCTTCTTTTGGAGCGTGTAAAACATGGTAGAGGCATAAGAATTATTTCCTATTCCACTTGTTTCTACGGTCATCCAAAATGAAGAAGGAAGAAATTTTTTGTTGTGCCTCATATTGCAACAACTTCTCCACATCCGGAACTGCCTCCGTGCCATGAAGGGATTTATGGAAAAACTAATTTCAGGTATTGTGTTTTCTTTAGTAGTAATTGTTTTATTTGGATAATCAGATAAGTACTCTTGATAGCCAATGATTCATTTTCGATCGTTTTAGGGTTACAATAATTGTCAGTTTTGTGTCGAGAGAGTCAAGCTACGTTGCTTTGTATGAGGTGACCGACACTATGATTTTGGGCTTTACGATCGGATCTGTAATAACTGTCTGGAAGTTGTTTAATTTTAATTACATGGTTTTTTATATTAATATAAATTGTTTATATAAAGAAGAATTAAAAATATAAAAATGACACATGTATTTCATACTCCATAAATTTTCAATTGTCATCATGTGTCTAATAAACACTACAAATCAGACGCCCAAATCTATTAAAAATACTTAACTATCAGTTTTAGTAGCTTATTAAGGCCAAGGGGATAGGATCAAGACATCACTCCACACCATGCCCACCTCACTCTCATCCAGTGGCGGACCCAGAAAAATAGAGTCACGGGGTCCCTACTCTAATGTTACTCTAGTTAATATAAAATTAAAAGAATAACATGATAAAAAATTGCAGCATTTTAAAAGAGAAATAACGTGATAAACAAAATGTAGCATCTGAAAACTCTATTTCCGAGAAATGGTCACCTCCAACTTCCCACTTATTCTCTAAAAAAATAACATGGTAAAGAAATAAGAGCATATTTGGCAATACTTTTTTCAACAATTTATGTTCATCAAACTAACTTGAAAAAAATCTATGTCTTTTGCACTCAATTATCTTAAAAAGGAAATCATGATCCCGAGGGTGAATTAACCCTTCTAAAGGTAACTGTGGCGTACCTCGTCTTGAACATTAGGACGAAAATCAACAATATTTCCCCCTCAATCTATGATGAGCTTCCAAAGATTCAAAATCAACATGTTATTTATGTAGGTTATATGCCAAATTACTATGACTTTCTGCAATTACTTGATTCAATTCTTCATTTACTAATGGCGAATCATTTGAATTAACATCTGAACTACACATGGTACTCCAAATTCTTTTAAATCTGGGTACACTATCGAAACATATATTCATTCTAAATTTTAAAATATTGGATAAAAAACATTCCTAAGTACACAAAAACAAAAGAAAAATCTCTAAATAGGACTAAAATATGGATAAAGTTAAAAAATAGGACTATAAATGTTTTAATGCAAAAGTAGGAATCATTCACTCTTATTTTGGGAAGCTTTAATCAATTTATTCTTTTAATAGTGTTGAATAAGTCTTATTTGGGAAATATAACATATTTAGTCATATTTTTGAACTGTGTATATGTTTTAGTCCTATATTGAATAATTTCTATTCAATCTTAATTCAAAAAAAGTTTACTAACCAAACCCCAAAAATGAAGTGTGTAAAGGATAAACAATAAAATATGGGAATTGAAAAACCAATAAAAGTTAAAAATGAAATATGGAAAGTTGAAAAACAAAAAATGGTTAGGGGGAGTCAAACCCTAAACCTCATCAAGAAGAAACGCTTATCTTTAACCTGTACTCCCGTTCCACTGCACAAGCCTTTTGGTTCTAATGTAGCTTTCATTAGTTATATACATTGATTAATTAATTTTATGTGAAATAAATATAATATATATAAGTATTTTTTTGGAGGTGCACGGGGTCCCGGGACCCCGTGGGACCCTTAGTGGGTCCGCCACTGCTCTCATCTCATCGCCACATTATCACTATGTCATCATCTAGTTTTTTAGTCTATGTTTTCACTATTTAATTTCCACCAACCCCTCATCACCTGCTCACCCTAAGCTATCACCGGCCACCGTTGTCACCATCTCCGACCACCACCCTCGGTCAATCAAATATGAGTAATAACTATAGTATTTCTAAATTTAAATTAGTCGCCATATAGTATGAATTGATTTATTTAATCATATATCTACATATATTTGTCTTACATAAATTTATTTTTAATGTATTTATATGTAATGTATTTTTAATATTGCATGCACCATACGGAGTATTACCTATTTAGCCCAATGCAAGAGATAACTAAAAACCCAACATTTAGAGAAAATCTATATACTTCGTATATTATACTATCGTACACCGTATAAACAAAAAGCTATTTGTACCTATTCTTATACCCACTTTTATACCCATCATGTTTGAGCAAGAGTTTTTTTTATCTGTGAGTTTTATTCACAGACAATATTTTGTTTGTGAAAAATTTGCATCCATAAAATAACACATATTTTTTCTATGAACCAGATTCATATATAGACAAAAAAAAAACCTTACGAACATGATAGATATAAGGTGGAAATAATGGTGGGTACATCAAACATTGTTGTCTTCTCATTGTGATAGATCTAAAAAAAATATTTAAAAGGAGATCAGAGGGCTTTTTCATTAAACGTAAAAATGTGTAATAATGACTTGAAGATTAAAATAACTGATATTATGTGATGCAAAGTTGTACATAGGAGAAAGAAATGTGTAAGAATGAGTAATAAATTATGTGAACCACAAATTCTTTGTCAAAAGAGAAAAAATATAATTTTGAGACGGACGAAAAGATTGAAGATAATATTGGGACAAAAGGAGTATGTAACTATGTATCATTTTATAAGAAAATCTGGGAAACTAAGGGCCTGTTTATGTATTTTTCCATTTTTTTGTTTTCTATTTTCATTTGCCAAATCTGAACAAATGTTTTCCAAATTTTCTTTAATTTTTATTTCATTTTTCAAAACAATAAAGTATGTATATACATTTAGGAATTGAATCTGATAGATCCGAAGGCGTAAAAACGACAAATATTACCTAACACCGTTAAAAATACACAACACATCAAATAAGTATTTATTATTAGAAACATTTGAAGTGAGACATAAGATTTTCACAAATGATAATCCACGAATAAGACTTAATAAGTGCCATTTTTAAATAAGAAGCTACATTGTGTTGAAAAACAAATACACAACACTAGTAATACTTTGATGTGAAAATTATGGATTAAAGTTAGTATTAGAAATTTATTTTTAAGCCACATGTTTTTCATAACATCTTTGAGTACATAACACTAATAATACTTTTTTTTAAAGAAACACATACATTTTTTCATGATCTATAGATCAAAGTTAGTATTAAAAGCTTATTTATTTTGGGGGATGTTATGGTACCTAAAAGTAAGTCATATATCACTACAAACGTGAAAATTGATTTTCCTATTTTAATAAATAAAATATATTATTTAACATACACCGTTGCATATTATCTAAAAACGTTTTAAAGCCTTGTAGTGTCAAACCTGACAGAAATTTACTCTTATTCAGGGAATAAAAAACATGATACTCCTATTTTAGAATTTCAAAACCTTTTTGCTCCTATTTTGGCACATATACTACGTATTCCGTGTAATTTAACTGTATATTTTAGACTCCGTTTGGTGATCATGTTTTTCGGCTTATCATCCTTATCAGTCAACTTTTTTCACCAAACATGCAAATAAGTTTTGATTTCATGTGCTGAATTATGTAATAATCAAATAAGTAATGTTGGAGTTACTTTTGTGGCAGCTTTGGCTAAAGTTATCGTAAAAGACTATTCTACATTGATACTCCCTCCGTCCCATTAGGAGGTTCCAATTGCGGTTTACGATATTTGACTGACGATAAAACAACTTAATCCATGTTCACACTGATTATTTTTAGTAAATAAAATTTACATATTCAGAAACTACATTAAATTTAATAAAAAAGCCGTGTCAATAGTGTGAATAGTGTATAGGACCCTTTAAATGGAACGGAGGAAGTATAATTTTTTCTTTTTTTATTAATAAAATATATTCTAGATATAATTTAATAATAAATCGGCAGAACTACCTAATTCAACTCGTTCAACTATCAACGTTATAAATTGCACAGAATCAACCGATTCAACAATAATCAGTGTTATCAAACACGTACTTAGAGGCCGTTTGGTAACACTGTTTTTCGGCTTATCAGGCTTTTCAGTCAACTTTTTCACCAAACACGTAACTTTTACTTTCGCGCGCTGAATTGTGTAATAAGCAGAAAAAGTAAGGTTGAAGTTACTTTTCAGGCTGTATTGGTTGAAGTTACTGTAGATGATCATTTTAGCTATTTTTATATGTAATTTTTTCTTTATTTTATTAATAAAATATATTTTTAAAATATTTTTTTCTTAAATCAGCAGAATCAGCTAATACAGCCACTTCAGCCAGAACTTCATAAATTTCAGCAGAATCAGCCAAAACAGCCGATTTTCGTGCTACCAAACGGGCTCTTAGTTTTAAAGTCTTAACTCTTTTTCATGTCTAAAGTTACTAGATAGTTCACTTAAATTACCATATCCTCTTTTCAACGATCACCACGCGAATATAAAAGTCACGGGTGTTAATTTCTATGAACTTTCATTCCTTACCGTCCTTATCCGTACGCCTAGCTTCCATTTTCAGTTAATATAAGACCTTGATGTCTTTTGTTTCTTCTCCCTCCCTTTGTCGTTTAGGAGAAATTAGTAGGATCTCCATAGTTTCATTCTCTGTGTTTCTTGCTAACAGTATGCGAAGATTCACAGGCTTTTTCGTGAAACAGAGGGTGACAACACTTTTCCGGCGCCTGCTCCGGCGCCGCCGTTCTCCGTCAGCCTACCAGCGTCTAGACCCACCGTCCACAGAACCGGCCAAGCTCATTCCCTCGCTCTCCAGATTCACCCGGCACTTGACGTCCAAAGCAAGAGCGATTTGCTCGAAGGCTCACTTTCCGGTTCCGGGTTCGGGTTGGCGGGCGAAGGATCTATCAGGGTGGCGAAGAGTGCCGAAAGGGCATCTGGCGGTGTACGTGGGGCGGAGGGATGAAGACTTCAAGAGGGTTTTGGTGCCGGCGATTTACTTCAACCACCCTCTGTTCGGGGAGCTGCTCAGAGATGCCGAGGAAGAATTCGGGTTCTGTCATCCGGGCCGGATCGCCATCCCTTGTCGGATATCGGAGTTTGAGCGTGTTCGGACCCGGATCATGGAGGGTACGGAAAGCTCCCGGAGAATGGTCTTCCGGCGGCATGATGACGTCGTCGAACGCTAATTGACACGTACTCATTTTGGAGTGTTTTTTCTTCTTGAATTTATCGTTTTGGAAGATAATTTATTTATGAGTGTCGGTGGGGCACATTCTCATTTGTCCGTTTCATTGTACATTTTGTACTTGTCCCCGTGACCGTTTGATTATGAGCAGTTATCTTATCTTATTCTAAAGGATGAAAAGGAAAACCGTTGTAATACTTACAATTAGGGAGTGTTTGCAACTGCTTCTGCTTAAAAAAAAGCACTTTTGGAGAAGTAATGAAAAAGTGATTGGTAGTAAAAGTTGATAGTGTTTGAGAAAAATGTGATTTTGAAAAGTAAAAGTTGGTAGTGTTTGGTAAAATAAGTGCTTTTTGTGTAATAGAAAAGGGAAAAGCACTTTTCACACGCAAGCCGAGAAAAAGTAAAAATTGGTAGTGTTTGGTAAATAAGTGCTTTTTAAAGCCAAAAGCTGAGAAGTGCTTTTTTTAAGCAGTTGCAAACACTCCCTTAGTATAGTACGTAATTTCCAAGTTATGTTATACAAATAATTTATGTTGTATACGCCAAAAATAATTCCAAGGAAAAAGACTAAACATTTGCTTATGAGTTATGACTCTACGTGGACATTTGGTTTGGCCACATGATAAGTCATAGATGATGATGACTCTACCATGAAAAATAGGAGCCATCGTGGAATGAGACAAGACTTTTAAAATTACTGAATAGCAAAAATCTGTAATACATAAATTAGACTTCCAAACTAAATAAGGTATATTACAATATTAAAAAAAAAACCTAAAAAGTGAATCACAATTGCTCTTTTCGATTTTTCATGTTTTGAAAGAGATCTATTATAATTTTATTTGTGACAGTTTCAAATAGACCGCTTTGCTAGGGTTGAAGATGGTGTTTTTTTCAAAAATAATTTGTCCATAAAATCACATTAAAAGTTTAATTAATTTTTTGATAACTATGTATTGTTGTATCTCTTTATCAAGTCAATATAAATGAACTTTCAAAAATCTATCCTTTTACCAATTTTAACAGTTTAGCACAAATACACAATAAGACGAAAAAATTCTCTGAATAGAATTAAAATAATGATAAAGTTCACAAATATGAATATCATGGTTTGATTCTCAAAATATGACTCATTCAATTCTATTTTAGGAATTGAAGTTCTAATCAACTTATTCATATAATAGGACTAAATAAATGTTATTTGGGGAATAAAACACACTTCATCTCATTTGTGCACTTTGAATATGTTTTAGTACTATATTGACCAATTTCTATAACACTTTAACAGTTTAACACATACGTAGTACAAATTATACAATAAGTCAATATCAATAGGCAAATACTCAAATTAATTACTCAAAGTACTACATAGTATATACTTTTTGTACTTGGAAGAGAATGTGAGAAGTCTGCACTTTTGCAACGCGAATTAGAGCCGGAGCTTTTGATTTTCCGGATACCATTTGTCTTCGAGTCTCATTAAGGGTCTGTTTGCAACAGCTTCTGCTTTTAAAAAAGTGCTTTTTTAAAATGAAATGGGGAGAAGTGATTAAATAAAAGTTGATAGTGTTTGAGAAAAAAGTGATTTTGAAAAGTAAAAGTGGGTAGTGTTTGATAAAATAAATACTTTTTGTGTAATAGAAAAAGTAAAAGCACTTTTGACGCGGAAGCCGAGAAAAATAAAAGTTGTAGTGTTTGGGAAAATAAGTGCTTTTTAAAGCCAAAAGTTGAGAAGTGCTTTTTTAAAAGCAGTTGCAAACCAACCCTAATTCTCCTTCAAGCTTTGCCGGTTGACGCTTGAGTTTATCTCATTATCTGTGATAGTTCTAATAATGTAATATTTAGGGATTAAGTTGTAATATTTCATAACTATGTTTTATTATAAATATATCATCAAGACACCCAATAGGGTAAGCCATTATTCCCAAATCATATTTTTGTATATGGTATCAGACGCCTAGGTTTTTATTTCTGTTTCACGATTCACTATGGCTGGCAATCCTCTTACTGCCGCCATGACTTCGGCGCCCTCTCAGGAGCAGCCGACTACAGTACCCATCGGCACAATCGCGCCCACTACAACGGAGCAGCGTCACAACGGCATCAATCGCGCCCCGGCCATTGACTCTTCTCTCGATGATGGTTCCACTTCTGCAGTTCGGTCCACTCCACCAATAGCTTCACCGCTGGCACCGAATCTCCGTTCCCGATTGCAGACCTTCCCTTCGCTGGACTCCAACAATCTTTTTAATATGCCACCGCCATTCACCTGGACTTCGACAGCGCATCTCCCTCCACCACCGGTCTTCACTACTTCTTCAGAAGCTGGTCCTTCTACGATGCGCTATGCTGGACCAACGTTCACTACTTCAATGGTTTTGCCGCACTCCCAAGTTCTCAGGCGAGTCTGGTTCTGCTCAACTGCCAGGTTTTTATCTAATTTGTCTTCCCAGTTGACATTCCCTACGCCAAATGTAACCAATATTGTTACTACTCGACTATCTGCTATTGAGGATTATTTGTCATGGCGTACCCAATTTGAGTCCTTCTTGGTCTCTCATAGTCTTCTTGGGATCCTTGATGGCTCAATTCGGGTACCGCCTATCACTGATACAGATTACCCACACTGGTTGAAAATAGATCAAACAGTTAGATCTTGGCTTTTTGCTACTTTGGCTAGGGATATTTTGATGGAGGTCTATGATTTAAAATTTTCTTCACTTATATGGGAACGTCTTGAATCACGCTTTATGTCTGCCTGTTTTGCTAGGTCTGTTGAGCTTAAGCGGTTCTTATTACACATTAAAAAAGAAGAATCACAGACCATGGATCAATATTTGTTGGAAATTAAGTTGATTGCTGATAATCTTGCTATGATTAATTCACCCGTTAGCACCCGAGACTTGATGGAGTATGCTATTTTGGGATTGGGTTGTGACTTTGAACACCTTATCACAACTATCTCTTATTTTCCTGGGAATGCTACACTTGAGTCTCTGCGCCCAATCCTTCAACAGCAGGAGAACCGGTCTGCTGCCATTACCTCACAGGACCAGTCCACGGTCCATCAAGCATTCGCGGCGGGACAGGCTGCTCCAGGCCGAGGATCTGCTCCTAGAGCATCCGGAGGGTATGGTGCTGGCGGATCTCGGGCACATGGCGGACGTGGCAACCGAGGGGGCATACCTCAGGGTGGCCGCGGACGGGGAGGACGTGGACAACATCAGTACTATCAGCAGCAGTTTGGAGGCTATCCGGTGTTTGGGGTTCCCTACGGACAGCCGGCTCCTCCACGTGGACATCCATATTCTGGTGGCACATGTTCGGTATTTAGTAATGTCAGATTTGGTAATGATTTTACTAATCACTTTTCAACTTGTGGTACTTATAATATTAGTGCAGGTTTTCCGTCTGTTGAGAATCCTTATCCCTCTCCTGCTCCGCCAGTTGTCTGTCAGCTTTGCTTCTCTCCAGGTCACTCTGCCATTACCTGCTCTCGTTTCACTGCGCATAATACTCCGGCTCTGGCGGCTCTTCCCACTGGTGAGGCGCATGATTCGGTCTGGTATCCTGATTCTGGGGCTTCCGCGCACATGACTCCACATGAAGGTATTTTATCTTCTAAATTTACTTATACTGGCACGAATCAAGTTTGTGTTGCTAATGGTACTAAATTACCTATTTCTCATATTGGTCACGTTAAATTAATCACATCTGGCCGCCCGCTACATTTAAACTCTATTTATCATGTCCCACACATTAAATATAATTTATTATCTATACAAAATTTTTGTGCGGATAATGCCTGTGAAGTGATTTTTAATAAAAACTCTTTTTCTGTTAAGGACAATCAAACGGGGGAGCTTCTTCTTCAGGCCAGTAAAAAAGATCATGTTTACCCCTTTCTTGCCCTTCAAGCCCGAGTTGTACCTGGTTCTGTCTGGCACAAGCGTTTAGGACATTGTGGTGATAGAGTTCTTTGTACTCTTAGGCAAAATAAATTAATTAGTAGTTCCTCAAATTTTACTCATGATTGTGTTTCTTGTAAATTGGGTAAATCCCACAGACTTCCGTTTTCTGATGTTATTCATGACACTTCTGCACCTTAAGAAATTATTCATTCTGATGTTTGGCAGTCTCCGGTTGTTTCTAATATGGGTTTTAAATATTATATGTCTTTTATTGATGATTTCTCTAGATTTACATGGGTTTATCCCATGCGTAGGAAATCTGAAGTTTTTACACATTTTATTAATTTCCAAAAACTGGTTGAAAATCTATTGAATACCAAAATTAAAATTTTTCAAAGTGATGGAGGGGGTGAATTTGATAATTCTCTGTTCCACACACATTTTTTAAATTCAGGCATTTTATTTAGAAAATCTTGTCCTCATACTCCTGCTCAAAATGGGGTAGCTGAACGTAAACATAAACATTTACTTGAATTAACTAGGACCTTATTAATTGATGCTTCTATTCCTAGTCATTTTTGGGTAGATGCTCTCTACACCGCCACTTTTATTGTTAATCGTTTACCTACCCCCATTTACATGGAGTATCTCCATATCAAAAACTGTTTAATAAAGTGCCTGATTATAATTTTATGCGTGTATTTGGTTGCTCTTGTTTTCCCAATTTTATTGCTGCCTCCCACAATAAGCTCTCACCACGTTCTACGCACTGTGTTTTTCTTGGGTATGCTCCGGGTTATAAAGGGTATCGTTGCCTATCTCCTTCCACAGGCTGGGTTTATGTCAGTCGAGATGTTGTTTTTCAAGAAAATAATTTTCCCTATAACTCCTTAGTTAGTTCACCATCTTCCCCGACATCCACCCTTCCCTCCTCTTGGCTATCTTCTTCTGTTTCTGATACAAACCAGCGCCCTGTTATTCTGCCAGCCCTACCAGCCCCACCGTCCTCCAACTCCCACTCTTCCACCCTTCCTTCAACCCCCATGACTAGTAGCTCGTTCCCAAATTCCCTTAGCAGTACTCCTTCAACCAAATCACCACCGCACACTCCTAGTTCCCCACCCTTCTTGCAGACTACTCCATCTCTTCACCCTGTGACCTCACTGCCAGCCCGCAATCTTCCTCAGCTGGCACTTCCCCATCATCTAAAACCAATGACCACGATCCCCTTCTATCCCACACCTCGGCTTCTGCCATCCAGCCCTCGCATCTCCCGGAAAATGTTCATCCGATGCGTACACGTGCAAAGGATGGCATTTTCAAACCCAAACACATTTTTACATTAAGTGCTTTCTCTCCCCCGGATGATCCTACTTGTTTTACACAGGCAAATAAGAGTTTAGTTTGGCGGGCTGCCATGGCGGATGAATTTAATGCTTTGATTAATAATAAGACTTGGGATTTGGTATCTTGGGACCCTACTAAAAATGTGGTTGCTTGTAAGTGGATTTATAAGACAAAATATTGTTCTGATGGGTCAATTGAGTGGCACAAAGCCCGTTTAGTTGCTCAAGGTTTTAAACAACAGGCTGGGGTTGATTTTACTGAAACTTTTAGTCCTGTTGTTAAGCCTACCAGTGTTCGTCTTGTTTTATCAGTTGCCATTTATTTGGGTTGGTCTGTTCGTCAGTTAGATGTGAAAAATGCTTTCTTGCATGGAGTCTTAACTGAGGAAGTTTACATGCGACAACCTCAGGGCTTTATTCATCCTTCCTATCCTACTCATGTGTGTCGCCTTTGTAAGGCTTTGTATGGGTTGAAACAGGCACCTCGTGCTTGGTTTCATTGTTTCAGTGGGTTTCTTTTACGCTGTGGTTTTTCACAGAGCAGGTCTGATTCATCCATGTTCATTTATCGTACTGATTCTCAAGTTGTTTATATATTGTTATATGTGGATGACATCCTTATTACAGGCTCTTCTGCCTCGTTTGTTTCCTCTGTCATTAAAACCTTATCTCATCAGTTTGCCATGAAGGATTTGGGGGATATCCATTATTTTTTGGGTGTTCAGGCAAAACGGACACCTCAAGGTCTATTCTTGTCACAGGAAAAATATATATCTGATCTTTTACGTCGTTTTCATCTCCATACTGTCAAACCTGTTCGTACACCCCTGCCTTTACGCATTACACTTTCTCTCACAGATGGGGAACTGTTATCTGATGTTACTCAATATCGCAGTATGGTGGGTGCTCTTCAGTATCTAACTCTTACTAGACCTGACATTACTTATGTTGTACACCTTGTGTCTCAGTTTATGCATGCTCCACGCACTACTCACCTTTTGGCAGTTAAACGAATATACAGGTATCTTCAGGGAACCAGCACACATGGCTTATGGTTACGTGCAGACAAAACCATCTCCGTTGTTACAGCTTACTCTGACGCAGACTGGGCAGGATGCCCTGACAGCTCACGCTCGACCACTGGGTAAGCAGTTTTTCTGGGGTCAAATTTAATCTCATGGCGGTCCAAGAAACAACCAACCGTGTCCAAGTCTTCTACAGAAGCAGAGTACAGGGCTATCACATACACTGTCCAGGACACACTTTTTAGTCGGTCACTATTAGCAGATATGGGCATATTTACTTCGGCACCAGTGCAGCTTCTTTGTGATAATGTTTCAGCTTCATACTTGGCCGTTAATCTCATCCAGCATGATCGGAGTAAGCATATTAAAATTGACTATCCTTTTGTTCGTGAGCGAGTAGCGAATGGAGATCTTGTGGTGAAGCATATTCCTACACAGTTACAGTTGGGTGATATCTTCACCAAGAACTTGTCTAGTCAGCGTTTTGAATTTTTACGTTCCAATTTGCACGTGTTTTCCCCTGCACAAATTGAGGGGGTGTAATAATGTAATATTTAGGGATTAAGTTGTAATATTCCATAACTCTGTTTTATTATAAATATATCATCAAGGCACCCAATAGGGTAAGCCATTATTCCCAAATCATATTTTCGTATAAGTTCTCTGCTGACTTGGGCGCTCTTCGTTAACATTACAGGGATTTAGAATTCCCTGTTTTGGCTGCTTACAAAAGCTGAAGTATATGGAGTAATTTTTTAGAGGGCATTGACTTATTTTACTCCATTTTTTTTATTTGGGCTTGACTGGACTACTAGAGTTGAGTGGGTTTGAATCGGTTAGTTATTGGGGGCATTTATGCTTTTTTATTGGGGGGAATTATTTGGGCTAATTTTTTTTTCCTAATACAATATATGAAATTATTGATAGTTTATTGGGGGCAGCTGCCCCCCTTAGTCATAGTGTATATCCGCCCTGGGAAAGGCCAAGAAAGTGTGAAGTAAGCATCTAACCATATCAAAAAAATCATTTAGACCATTGTACTTTAAAATCATCGAGAGTCCTCTCATTTTTAATACAATGCTCAGATCAAATGAGGAGTTAAGAGGGTGAATAACAGGTTTTAAGATTCAAGTGCATATCAGGAAGTAATAACGACCATCTAGCTCTTTTCATCATGTTTTTTCACAAAGGGTGGCAAGGAGGAGAATTGAGAAGGACAAATTTTACATTTGAAAACATTGGTTGAGGGAGTGGGATTGCAGGAGTGTAGTGGAAAATACATTGGTGGAATATGGCTAAGGATGGTTACCAACAGGTAATTTCTACCATCAAGGGGGGCTACTCTTTAAAAATTTTGAAAGGCGAAATGTGCCATTATTTGGGACGACACGACCTGCTAGGCTGCTACTATACGCAAGAATTCCCATCCTCCTTCAAGCTTGGAGCTACCACAAGACCTTCCCAAAAATGCAGACATAGAAGACAACGATGGAGTCCAGGAACATGGCCTTCTTATAAAGAACACTCACAGAGTCCGCCCAACTGTTTTCCCCACAAGAGCTTCCTCTACTTATTAAGAGTGAAAGATACAGATGGTGTATATTTCTTCTATTGGCTGCACTTATTGACTTTATTTTGCTTATTTTGTACACTCTTCAACCTACTACCAAGATACTTCACACGAGTTTTAGATGATAAAAATAAAAAACTGTTCGGAAAACATGTCTATTGCACCCATTCCCAAAGTCCTCTCTACTGATTCAAGACTACTTGAAAACATGGCAGTGAATTGCTCATCTCTGTTTTGAATTTATGATGTTATTTTTTTTTCAATTCTTAAACAATAACCAAATGAAAGAAGAGTATTTCAAGATTAAGACCATTAAAAAAGAGCCTTTTTCCTGCAAGTTTAAAACGGTTACACCGTTACACACCCTATTCTACCCTATTTTGAATCAAAATTTCTTGCCACTACTAATAAAAAATTTAATCCATGTATGTAAATTGTTGAAGAAACCCACTACTCTAATCAATATATGAGTAATTAGTTTAGGATCATTGAAAATAATTTAGATTATTTTCGATAAACATTTAAGACAGTAAATAGTAGGCCTGCTAGATTTAGGAATTTTATGGGAATTTTCATTAGTAGGTTGTTTAATGAGAGAATTTGAGCTTGGGCTTGGTATATAGTGATATCTTATCTTAAAATCTTATAAACACAAATGATGGTTAGGGCATTCTAGATATGGTAAAAATGTTGGTGTAAATCTAAAGCAACATGTAGTTGAACAATTTGTTGTAGTTATTGTACCCTTCATTATTAACCTCTATGTCTCCTTATACTTCCGTTAAAATCTACTCCGTATTCCGTAACCTTTTATCCCTCGCGTTCAGTTCTCTTTCTGTTGTACCTTATGGGTGGCTTCCGTTAGCGGAACTATACCTCAACTTCACTTTTTATCTTTATGAGTGGCTTCCATTAATTTAAAAAACATCTCTATTATTGTTTTCTGAAGGCATCTCAGATTCTCAGCTATTGTTATTTGCCTCTCTTGTTTATGTGATGATCAATACACATCGAACGATGATTTAAATAGTTCATTTAAAGTAGTTCATTATGTATTTATGAAATCATTCATAGACTTATTAGAGCATCCCCAATGCTACAATGTGTATTGTGCACATGTGGCATGAGAGATAGTTGCATAAATATTCATAAGTAATTTATCTCTCTCCTTATTTGAATGATTTTATATAATTTTAATAATTTTTTCGATACAATGTTAACTATAATGTCAACATCTAGACGGCCTACATGACATTGTAGAGAAAAATTTACCACAATTATATAAAACAATTAAAATAAGGAGAAAGACAATTTATTTGCTAATATTTATGTGGGTGTCTTGTATGCCACATGTGTAAATGTGCACGGTAGCATTGGTGATGCTCTTATATTTAGGCTATATGGTGATAAATACTCTGTATTACGTTATACGAAGTATCACTTATCACTCGATCAAATGATGATGGTATTAGTCACTCAACTAAAATTAGTTCTCCTATATATGCTACGTAGTATTAACGAGACCAAATGAGGTTTCAGTGTCTATATATGCACTGGCAGAGCTAGGAAAACGGTTCGGGGGTCGAAACTCAACCTATATACAAAATGAAAATGGCGGATCGTTTTAAACAATATCTGAGTTCAATATTTCATATGCAGTTTAGATAAATAGACACTCATAGCAATAAGATAGATTGTCTTTACTCTGTTTCTGAGTCGTGTCTCATAAGTATTGAGTGAGTTATACCCTATTTTTAAAATCCGGGAAAATAATCTATATTATGCATCATATTTTGCTGATTTTACGTTTAGATAGTGGTGATTTTCAGAAGTCAAAACTTTTTACTCGTAATGAGTTACGGGGACCTAATTTATCAAATCGAACATATTTCAGAGCTCTATAATCTCAAACATTGAGTAGGATCAGCTGACCCACCTGACCCCCTTTAGCTCCGCCCCTGTATATGTGATATTTATCAGGCGCGCGCACACACACACACATATTAATTATGTAAAATTGAACGTTCAACTAACTCTATTACACGAACAACCATTCTATTCTATTATATCTACGAAAATAGTATTGGGCATTCCCCCTCGCGCATAGCGCGAACAAAAAACTAGTAGGGAATATAAAACCAAAAAATATTGCTTTAAAATGATCTATCTTAAACGAAATGTGTAACCTAGCTGGTAGGACTTCTGAAATGGATGCAGATTGGCTAGAATGGATAATGAACATGTTGCCAAGAAGGGAAAGAAGTTGATTTCATCATTCTTTCCAAAAGTGAATCATCAAACTGGTGAAGGGAGTTACGAACCTATACCTACAATAGTGAAAGATCTAATCAAGGAGGTTCCTCCACATGCCCAAGTCCCTGAAATTCAAGCTATCTCAAATTTGGAGTTGCCTCCATCATTTCCATGGAGAGAGATCTGGGAAAAGGAATGCAAATTCATGAATATCATGTCAATGTGCGAGATGAAGTGAGATGTGCATATCTAAATGTTGGGCATTATCAACCGAGAATGGAAGCTTACCCAGTTAAAAAGTTTGGAGTTTAAAATCGAAGTTCTTAGAAACACTGGTTTGATAAGTTTAATTGGTTAGAGTACTCACTTGACTCATAAAGCTTACTGTTTTTTTGTTTCCTTTTCTTGAATGACATTCATATGCATACTACTTTTTTTTTTAAAAACAAATAACTTTTTTATTAATAAAACTGAGAACCAGATACAAATTCGCCATAACAAACGCTACACTGGGGTGAGACTCAGAGCTGGATTCGCCCTTAGAAGCGGACTATCTCGCTAACCCCGCAATGTGGTAGGCTCCATACACAACAATCTTGTACCTGCTACTAGAATGGGGATGAAAAAACAAAGCAGAGTTCAGAATAATAGAAGAAATAGAAAAAAAACATAATCCAGTTTGACCATCCATTGGCAAGGAGTAGCGGTTTAACCAGCCTCCACTAAAGGATCAATCTTCAAAACCTCGCCATCTTCCGCTACTGGCGGTGTTGTCCAGGCAGCACTGCCACTTCCTAGTTTTTTGAAGACGCATCATCAACATCCATGCTTGCCTCTGTCCCCACCTCACTCTCCTTCTGTGTGACCCTACGCTTTCTGGACCCATCACCGGTAGCAATCTCCTTAACCTTGGACAAGAGACCCTCCACCAAATAACTGTCCTGTTCCTTTGTGTCATTATCAGATTCCACTAATTTTCCTTGCGTATTGCCCGGATTCCTATTACTAGTTATAAGCCATCTGTTTCGCGGGTGCAATCCTCTCTGCCTATATCTGCCCGAAGCCATGGCCCATACGGTTTCTCCCCAATTCCCAACCCGTTATCAGGGTTAGAGGGACAAAAAAGATCAGCATGGCCAAGAATCCCACATAGAAAGCAGAAGTTCGAGTCTCTCATATTTAAAATTTGCCCAAATCCAGCCATCCCCCTCCTGTCTAATTTGTGGTCGTCGAGTTAACGTCATGGTAACGTTCAAAGTGACTCGTATGCGCATGGCTTGCCTTTTCTTTCTGCCAAGAGAACTCTCATCCAGTCGCACAAAGGAGCCGATGCTATTGGCTATACCACGTGCTGCCTTTGCCGTCATATAACTTAGCGGCAGATCATGTACCTGAACCCAAAAATCTGCATGGTCCAGTGCAACCTCCAAAGGTTTATCCGAACGTTCCAACCGTCTAATAACCACAAGGTTCTGGTCAAAGGACCAAGGCCCCTCATCGACAACCCTGTTCAGGTCTCCCTCGTGATAAAATTGTAGTAAGAATTTTGAATCCTCAATTTCATCCATCGAGACTCCTTTTACTGGTCGCCAAACCATAGCCATTGTTTGGCAGAAAGAGATAGCACAAACAGGTTTATCCGACACCACTCTGACCACCGCCGCAAGATTGAAACCGTCCGTATTCCCTCCCCCATTTTCAATCGGGTCAGTCGCAATCACTAGCTCCCTGTTTTC